CTAGGGAGTGAACCAGCAGATCTCTCTGTGCCCTCTCCTTTTCTCTCTGTCTTTCAAAAAAATATATATATGGCATAAATAGGGATGAGCTTCATTCTTTTAATATATGTATATTCTTTTTAATATATGTATATTCTTTAAACATATGTATATATAATATATGCTAATATATATACATATGCCTAATATAAATAGGCACTATGCTAAGGTTTAAAACATATTATGTCATTCAGTCTCTTAACAAATTCCTACATGGAACAGAGGATCATATCGCCCTTTCTCTCATGAAGGACTGAAGGTCAGGATAAGTAAATTGTTAGAGGGTCAACATTTGAAACCAAGTCTCTCTTAATTTTGTTCCCCTATTTTGCCAAATATGCTTCTTCTGTATCTTCCCAGCATGGTTGCAATGTTAGCATTTGACACCCAAGCATTGTTTAAGGGTTCTTTTTTTTTTTTTTAAAGATTTATTTATTTATTTGAAAGAGTTATAAAGAGAGAGGAGAGGCAGAGAGAGAGAAAGAGGTCTTCCACCTGATGGTTCACTCCCCACTTGGCCACAATGGGCAGAGCTGCACCTATCCAAAGCCAGGAGCCAGGAGCTTCTTCCAGGTCTCCTCGTGGGTGCAGGGGCCCAAGGATTTGGGTCATCTTCCTACTGCTTTCCCAGGCCATAGGAGAGAACTGGATTAGAAGTGGAGCAGCTGGGTCTCAAACCCTTATGGCTTGCCGGCGCTTCAGGCTAGGGTGTTAACCCGCTGTGCCACAGCACCAGCCCCTGTTGAAGGGTTCTGAATAGGAGTGGCCGTTACCAGAAGTGCACATGGAGGCTAGGATGGAAGGCAGCAGCAACCATCACCAGTGTTGGTCTGTGGACAGTCTCCTGCAGTGTCTTAAACCCAGAGAGTCACTAGATGACTTTATTTGTCAGAACTATATTTATTTATTGAAGATTTATTTATTTTATTTGAAAGGCAGAGTTACAGAGAGACAGAGAGGTCTTCCATCTGCTGGTCCACTTCCCAGATGGCTACCATGGCTGGAGCTGTGCCAATCTGAAGCCAAGAGCCAGGAGCTTCTTCTGGGTCTCCTAGGCAGGTGCAGGAGCCCAAGGACTTGGGCCATCTTGCACTGCTTTCCCAGGCCATAGTAGAGAGCTGGATCAGAAGTGAAGCAGCCTGGACTCTAACCAGTGTCCATTTGGAATGCCAGCACTGCAGGCGGCTGCCTGCTATACCGTAGTGCTGGCCCCTGTAGTCAGAACTATAATTGATGTCTTTTCCAATGGAAAAAAATAAGATTCTATACCAATTTTCATTCTTCTGTATCTTCCTTTCCTAGTCTCTATTAGTTGTACCTGAGTTTCAGTTTGGCTCAGTCCTTTTTAATGTACATCTTATAGCTTCCTTTAATTCACACTTGTTAAAGTATGACTATGAATTAACAATTAATTGCCCAAGAATTTCCCCATAAACACCTCTGAGACTTTATTATAATTGACATGATGAACACTGATAGAAAAAGGTGTACCACCTACCAATACGGAACTTTCTTTTTACACTAATCATGCCTAAAAGCATATCTAGACAGGGAAAATTAAGAATGCCTATTTTTCATATTTAAAGAACACATCTGGAACAACTTGAACGAACTAGCAGTAAAATAAGTGCCAAGGCAAATTATGCCATGCTTTTTACTTAAAAAAAAAAAAATGGAAAATATACCCCTTCTAGAAGGCCCTAGCATTGAATTGGATATTGAAATGGTATTGATAATGTATGTATATATGCCACATTTTGTTCCATGTATTAACCATCTTTGGTACGTATGTGTTGGATATTTTCCATGTGAGAGAAGTATTACTGAAGAGAGAAGATTGTTTTGTTTCCAAGTGGTATATAAATCATACAGGTAGAAATAAAATCAGCTCTTTTTGATTATACTTACCATCCCTACCTGGTGAAATAATTTTACTCTCTACCTCCCTCCCCCTTCACTTCCTTTTTTCTTTCTTTTTTCCCTTCTCCCTTTTTTTTTAAATCATTTTGTGTCAGTCTTTCAAGAAATATCAGAATTCCCCTACAGCAACTAAAAAATAGAAATTATGTACTAGAACATTATAATTTTCATGAACAAATAATTATACAAGAAACACTATAACTTAATATTGGTTTTACTCTATCCTCTAATTTGAAATGGGGTGAAATGCTTCTGTGGTTAAATCATAGCTCTTACGCTGTTTACTATAAAGCTTTCAAGAATATATATTTCAAAAAAATTTTTTCAAATAATCCAAAACAAATGCAAAAGAGTTCAACATACTTGAAACACATTTTCCAAATTTATCTTAAATCTCTCTGCTGCAGAGGGCTTTTGTGTGTGTGTGGATTAGGCTTGGCCAGTTATTTCACCATCTATCTCCATCCTGGATTGATTGCACTGAACAGCACAGAATGCGTTACATATGGTCCCACTTTGTCTCAGTTTGTAGGACCTCTGGGTTGGAACTCCATTTGATCAGAGTGTAGCCAACCGTCGCAGAAATTTGGCTAATGTCAAAATGCTAAATATATACATGCATACATACGTTCCAGTTAGAATGTATATATTCTTGTTAGAAGTAGTGGTATTTTGCTACAAATTTGCTAAGCAGTTATTATTCCTAAAATAGTGATGACATTTCAAGAATTTAAAAAGATCATCTACCTATAAGGATGATGATGATATTCTGGAGAGGAATCATGTAGCACATGTGGGCAAGACAGGGGTTCAGAATGTTCTCAAATAAAAATTATGAATATATCAAAAATCTTTCTAAAGTTAGAAGAAGATGGAAATACAAAGATCATCTTCAATACCAACTTAAATCATAAGTTTGAAGAGGAAACCCATTGTCAACTTTATAACTTATTTCCTTTTCTCTTGATGTGGACAAACTTAAAAAAGAAAGAAAAGTGGGTTTTAGATGTGTTTAAAGTTTAGGGATTCTCATTGTAACTAGGTGAGTCAGGTAGAGGCGTGTGGCACCTGGGAGCTGCTTAGTGGCTGGGGTTAACAGCACTGCTGAGAGTGACTCGCTCCTCTTCAGGTGTCTTTTTCTGTTTTCTTCCTTTCCCTCTTCTCCTCTCTTTTGCTTTATTTATTTTGTCGCTACTCCCACTTCCCCTTCCCCCCCCTGCTCTTCCTTTCTCTGTCTGTGCTACCACGTGCTTCGAATCTGTGTATCTGGACTGCCTTCTCTCACAGTTCCGTGTGAGTGTTAGCAGAATGAAAACCAGATGGACCAGCAGTTCCCACTGTTATCTCCCAGCCGACTCTGGCAAGCCTCCCTTTCTGCCTCCTTCCTTGGCATGACAGAAATATTTGCCTTTATTTAGGGAGACTTGTATTTGCTGCTGTACCTCTTCCCTCCGCTGCAACATAAGTGGAATGCTATTTATTCCCTTGTTGCTGAGGTTGGTTGAGGTGAGTAGAAAGTGCAATGAATTTAACTGTTGAAGAAGTGGTTTTAAGCCTGCCTAACTTCTGTGGTTTTTTTGGAATAACTAACTTACTAGGGATATTAATTGTTAAATGCTTTGGTTAACAATATGGAGAAATGTTTTAATAGTAAGATAAACAAACGCTCTCCATTTGTGTGTCTCTATCATTATTTCACTTAGAATAACTTTATTCATTGTTATTCAGCCAGCAATAGAGATTAAGAAATAGAGACCCTGATATTAGGAACTAGCTAATCAAAATGCTATTGTCAGAATGATGAATATTTCCATTGTTAACTCTTCCCTTATATGTATTAATATTATTTGAACGTTTAAATGTTGAGTTTTAGTGCCACCCAAGTCTTGGGAAATTGCTTTGGATAAAAGTGATGTAGACTTGGAGTTCTGATAGTAATTTGGGTTTTCTCATTTTCTTTTTGACATTTATACAATTTTGAGCATTTCTCAAATATAGTTGTTACTATATTTCACTTGCCTCATTTTTCCTTAATGGTCTATATTATTTTACTTTTCACATAATCCAAAGGTAAACTACTTCGGCCTAAGGCTACAAGAAACACCTCAAAATATTTCCATGTTCATGCACATGTGTGTGTATACACATGTTTTAGAAAACTTGTAGACATTTCAGTTTTATTGGTAATCTATTGCTTTGATAAGTAGATTGCATTGAGAAACAAGGAATTTCAAGGACAAAATAGCTCTGAAGTACAAATCATCACTACTGAGTAATCAGATTTCTCCATATCTGTCCTGTATTCACGCTGTCTTTTTAGTACTTTTAGTTCTCAATTTGGAACTTTCACATTCTGATTCTGTATGATATAACCAATTGAAATATTGGTTTGATGTTTTTAGAATGGCAGGTCATCAATGCACACTTTCTGGGTGTATATAGCTTCACTTCGTTGTGTAACATTCAGCATTAATATCGTGGTGATTTTTAAAACTTGGCAGATGAAATTAAGTGAGAGAGATGTTTTGTGCACACAACCTGTTCCACCTAATAGGCCGGAAAACTAAGCATCTAAAGGGGATGGCAGGTGTTGCAGAAAAGTCACCGGAAAGAGCCAACTGCTCCCAGTATCTCACCTGCATAACAGACTTCAGGATTTTGTTTTTTTCTGAACTGTCATGAGGCGTTCATTAACATCCTCCCTCCTCGTCTGTTTTCTACCTCTTGCTAATGTTCACTTCAGCTTGGAGTGAAGTTGTGCTATTGCATAAAACACTACCAAGGTAGCATCTGCCCAAGCCAGAAATAACAATAGGATGTAATACAACCTAGTTACAAATGAGGTCCTGCCATCTGTGCTTCACTCCTTTAAGTGGGGCTTGGCTGATCAAATCCTGATTTAAACTTCAGTAGCTAAGCGTATTTATTGATAGAAAACGCTGAATTTCTCCTGTTTACTTACCTTTACAAGAGATAAACGCTTTTTGAGAAGCTGAGGTGCTTAAGGAGTAAAATAACCTGTTCCTGGTGGCACCCTTCAGATCGTACTGAGAAGCATTCCACAATGCCAGACTCACCTGTGGATGTGAAGACGCAATCCAGGCTGACTCCCCCAACCATGCCGCCGCCGCCAACCACTCAAGGAGCTCCAAGAACCAGCTCATTTACACCGACGACATGTGAGTGGTCTTTTCTGGGTTTTGTGGTTTGGATTTGGTGTTTTTGTCAATTTTTTCCTGCAAATTAAAAAAATCAAGGGAAAATAAGATTTCGCATAAAAGTATTCAGCAGCAATGAAACAAAAAGTCATTAGTTTTCCAGTAAGTAGGTATTTAACACAGAAATGTATCTGAAGTATAATTGGTATGATTATCCATGTTGCCTTCCTTCTCAGTGTTGTTCAGAGTTGTAGTCTGCTATGCTTCTAGCTAGTGAAGAATACTGCATTGGGTCTGTAACTCTAGTTCTCACCACTAAAGCTTTAATTCACTTTTACAGGCACTCTTTATTTTCAGTTCAGGTTTGACTTGGAGTGTGAAAATATGGTTACTTCTTGCTTACTTCTGACTTCTTTCTATTTCAAACTATTACAAGTAATATTGAAATCTAGCATTCTTAAGTTAAAAAAGATATTGCTGTATGCAACAATCTCATTGAAAAATTTTCTGAAATAAGTAGCATCTTCCTTGTCTTGACGCTGTCAGACTTTCTTGAAACCATTACTCCCTTCCCACTTGGCTCTGGTCCTGTGTTCTGAGTCAGTGGAGTATATTACTTGCTGTGCTGTCTAAGGAAAGGACAGAACATTCTGATAGAATTGCAACTTCCCTGTCTTTGCTGTGTATTCCAATGAGGATCGCAAATAGCTTTGTTTTAATCAGTGTCAAAGTCCTGGTTGAAATTGTCATCAAGGATTTGTGAAACTAATAAATGTTATCTGTTGCAGAGAACAGTATTTATAGGCCATGTGCACTGAAATCCATATGAATGAAAAATAACAGGCAAAAATAGATCCATGGGACTATAAGGGATCAACAAAACACACATCCCAGGCTGTTTATTCAGTGTTGCACTGCCAGTTAAAAGACCTTTCCAAACATGTAAGGATCAGGAGACTGCCACATGCCGAGTTGTAACCCTGTCATCTTACATTTGGGTTGTTGTTACCCAAAGCCACAATGATAGGCATATGTCTCCTGGGAGATGTGCTGGTGAGCTATCACTTTTGACAAGTTACTTTGGTATTCACGGGGGACAAGGGAACCTTTTTATTATCTTGAAATTAAACTGTTAAAAAAACACAAGGTCCTTTAACACTTTATCCTACTGTTATTAGAGATATTTCTGAAAATTATATTAAAAGCATGGGCTTTATAATGATTAACTTGTCAAATCAATGGCCTTAACATGATACAATCAACATTTTCTTGAGTGGGAAATATGCAATTATTTCTGGTCCCCTTTTGAATTATCAGCTTGATGTTCAAATAAATTTTATCAGCAATGAATTTGTTGAATTACCACCAATCCATACTCTTGGTTGGATTAAGGTATCCCCTTTCGATTTCTGGAAATAACTCCTTGAAAAATACCATATCCATTTTGGCTTCTTAGATAAATTTGTATTTTCCCCAAAGAAGTGGTTAAGAAATAGGAGGGGGAGAAAATAGCCTTCTAATTGGGTGGTATAAGGTTAAAACTTGAAAGTCCTATTTCTATAAACACAGCTGTCAGTTGTGTGTACAAAACATGATTAAAAATGTTCAGTGATAAATTTAGTCTCCACCAAATGTACACTTTCTCTAGGGGAGCAGTTTAGAAAGGAATGGTCCTGTTATATTGATGTAAGCCTGTGACAAAAGGCTGACATCCAAAGCTGTTTGTTCTGTGTTTGAAACATTTCAGGTGGTTGGCATATGTGCACATGGGAGGCAGGGCTGGTCCCGTATTGTAGCAGACTCCAGTTATTATCAGCTGCTGTGCAGTTACCATCACTCAGTGTGAGGAGGTGCTACCTGAGGCTGGCAATCATAGGAAGCCCAGACATTTTACTAAAAGTCCTAACATCTTGAAACTTACAAAATGGCTAGATTTGAAGGAAATTTGGTGGTGATTTCCTTGTGTATATCCTCTGTAAGTTTACTTTTTTTCCCTTCTGATTTTGTGCCCTTGACAGTAACCAATGGCACAAGCCATTCGCCCACAGCCTTGAATGGCGCCCCCTCGCCGCCCAATGGCTTTAGCAACGGGCCTTCCTCTTCTTCCTCCTCCTCTCTGGCTAATCAACAGCTGCCCCCAGCCTGTGGCGCCAGGCAACTCAGCAAGCTGAAACGTTTCCTCACTACCCTGCAGCAGTTTGGCAATGACATTTCACCAGAGATCGGAGAGAGAGTCCGCACCCTTGTACTGGGATTGGTGGTAAGCAAGCAGAAATCAACCTGACTTCTTGGGGTAGGGGAAAGCCTATGTGGGACCTACGGGTGTGCAGACCTCACCCTCACAGCTATTTTGTTGTCATAGTGCCTACATCCAGAGAATGAGTGCAAATCTAATGAAATCTGTAGCCCCAAGGCTTTCAGTTCTGCATTATGTACTGGACCCTGTTGTGGTCTCTCTTACTATTTGATTAATGAGGATATGGTCATACAGATTTTTTGTTACCGTGGGTATAAAATGTGTCTGTGTGTATGTATGTGTATACATATAAATACATATGTACATAGTCATGTATGTGTATATATACATGTTTGTGTGTATTATATTTAACATATATATATATATATATTCCAGTAAGTGCACTGTCTTGACATGCCAGTGTCTTTCAACACATTATTCTTTTTAAGGCTAGTAACATTACATTTTTAATTTTTTTTTTTACTTTTTGAAATGTCTATAAAGGGAACAATTTTCATATATTTCATACATACAGTTTTAAGAGTGTAATGATACTTTCCACTGTATTCTGCCTCCCTCCCTCACTCCCACCCTCCTCCTTTTCTTATTTTTAATTTTCACTGTGACATACCTTTGATTTATTTCACATTGTTTTATAGATAAGATTAACCATTTTAAGTGAATGATTCAATGGCATTACGTACATCCATGTTGTATAGCCTTCAACACCATCCATGTCCAGATCTTTTTTATTACCTCAAACTGAACCTTTCTGTCCATTGAAAAATAACACTCCAAACCCCTTCACCCCCAACTCTTGGAAACTAATTTTTTTAATATAAATTTTTGCTACAGGTAGAATTACTTAAACCATTAGTTTGAGAACAAAATTGTTGGTTTTGGCACATTATACTGTATTCTGTACTTTATCACATACTGGAAAATGAGAACCTATATCCTTTTTTTTTTTTTTTTGGTACCCCAAGTCTACATTTACCATGATTTTTCTGAAGAAGTGGACAACTTTCTAGAATATAGCAAGGCTATTTTCCCATAGCAAACTGAATCATGGGGACACTATGGAGTCCCATTTTTGACCTTTTCAGCATCTAGGCTTATGGTAGAACTGGAATTTCAATGATAGGCAGCTGTATACTTTTTCTTGAAATAGATTGTTTATTTTTCTTATGTGGACCTATCGTGGGCAACCAGATTACATCAATTATCTCACATCTAACAGAGATTTTGCATTTTAATTTTTAAGCATTAACTACTCCTTCCTTTCCAAAGATAAGAGATTTTTGTATTTCCTGCCTCCTATCAGGTCCCACCTTGCACAGCTCCAGGACAGGGGGGCAATTTGACAGTGAGGCATCAGCACATAAAAGCTCCTTTTGGAGTTATTTAATATTTCCTTTTGATTCTCTCTTGAGTTTCATGTAATAGGCTTTGTATGAAGTGAATGGTGAATATATTGTTACTAATAAAGTTGTTTTGAACACTTCCTTAAAATCTGATATGTTCTTATCAACAGTGATTCCTTAATGTAAAATGTGGAAAAAGTGATTCCATGATGTAAAATGTAGACA